TTTTCTTTTATGCTCAATCGGATGAACGAATATAGATTAATTTCTTTTCACTAAAAAGAAACCCTTTTATCTACACAGGACTTCAACGATGTGGAAAAAGTTGTCGTCTTCGTTGGACAAATTACTTGAGGCCTGATATCAAAAGAGGAAGATTCTCATTTGAAGAAGAAGAAACTATCATTCAACTACACAGTATGCTGGGGAATAAGTAAGTTTACCTTACAAATATTCATCAATATTGTAGAATATTGATTCCATGATTTCGAATAAGTAATCTTCTCAAAAAAATGATACCCAGTTCAATAGTGATGGTTTGCGCATCATTTTAAAAGACAAATTTGTAATATACGGAAATTGATGAGTATAGAAGAACAATATTCAACTTTTTCACTTGTTTAAATGTCGATTGAACTTTTGTCGTGTTCTTATCTCATAGTTCCCTGAATTATATATAGGTGGTCAGCAATTGCTGCTCGTTTACCTGGAAGAACCGATAATGAAATCAAAAACTACTGGAACACCCACATTCGGAAGAGGCTACTCAGAAATGGAATCGATCCAGTGACTCATAGTCCTCGTTTAGAACTCATGGACCTTTCTTCCATACTCAACTCAGCTCAACTAAATCTTTCAAACCTTTTGAACCTCCATACGCTTGTAAATCCCGAAGTTCTTAGACTTGCCACTCTATTAGCCACATCTTCGAATCAAGAAAACCAAGATTTGTTTTTCAATAACCAAATGAATCCTATGAACCAAACTCTTCATCACCAGCTTCCAAACTGCACTTCCATTCCAACAAGTGTTCCAAGTAGTCACCTTTTGAATCAAGAGAGTCACAGTGATCAGTATTTTTCACCTAACATGGTTAACATGAATGGGCAAGTTGTTGATGGAAATTTCATGCCCCCATGCATATCGAATGATCTTGTTACACTTCCAATCGAAACGCAAAGTGATCAATATAGGGCACAGACATCAGAGACCTCGAGTTTCGAGCCATCAAGTGTAGAAAAGAAATACAACCCTACAAGCCAGAACTTCAACTTTGATTCGGTTTTATCAACGCCCATGTCAAGTCCTACGCCATTGAACTCATCGTCAACTTTCGTCAACAGCAGCTCCACTGAGGATGACAGAGAAACTTACTGCAGCATGTTTAAATTTGAGATTCCAGAAAGCTTTGAGTTTGAAGATTTCATGTTATAGCTAGCTAGTGCGACTACAATGTGAATGGAACTAGGTGGCTGTTTTTGACAATGGTCCATTCGAGCTGTTAGGATGTGGTGTTCTTTTGCTGGAAGTTTTATCATTTTGTGAATAATACAAGTTTGTATTATTGAGTTAGTTTTATATAAATAATGTTGTTTTTTAATTAGCTTTTCTTCTCATCCATTACTGTAGAACAAGCATGCTATATACAGATTCTCCTCCTATTATTACGTATTCCGAGTAAAGCAAACGGAAAATAAGTTTGAAAACTAAGACAATGAATCTCATAACAAAATGATGGAAGAATATTTAGAGTGCAACCAACTAATTTTAGCTCTACATTCTAGAAAAAAAAAGGGTGGACTTAAGAATACACTTTCATTCAAAATATTAAAACAAAAATCAGAAAACAGTTTTGAATCAGAAAAAGAAAATAAAGAAATGATCAACTCAAACACGTCTCTAATAAGAAAAAATTACAATATATACTTGTCATATAATGAATGATTTTGAAAAAAAAAATCTTTACAACTTTGCGATAAAAAAAACATAATCGACAAAGAATAAGATAGAAGATATAAAAGAGTATCAGAGGATCAATGTGTGAGATGAGAGACAAGATTCACCGCAAGAAAGACAACCACCCTCTCCAACCTGTTAAAATTTCAATCAATTTATTATTGTCTAATACGCTCCCACAAGCTAAGAGCGGGGAAAGACCTGCAGCTTGGATCTTAGTTGTATGAATCATTGAGTTGGCAGTAGCTTTGTGAAGATGTCAGCTATTTGATCATGTGTATAGATGAGCCGGACTTGGAGATCTTTATTTGCAACCTTTTCTCTGACAAAGTGGAAGTCAACTTCCACATGCTTTGTGCGAGCATTAAACATTGGATTAGCTGAGAGATAAGTTGCCCCAAGGTTATCACACCACAAGACTGCGGGGTTTAGAGTTGTTAACACCAAGCTCTCGAAGAAGAGATTGAAGCCAGGTGAGCTCGGCAACCGTGTCAGCAAGAGCCTTGTACTCCGACTCTGTTGAAGATCTAGATACGTTTCGTTGTTTCCTTGCAGTCCAAGATATTAAACTGGAACCAAGATATATTGCAAATCCCCCTGTGAACCAACGGTCATCTGTTAGCATCCAAAAAAGGCAGTTAAGGTATTTGATCCTTGCCAAACAGAATCGGTAAACGCTTAAGTACTTGAGGTTTGGCGAATAAGCATGCCATGATCAACAGTACCATGAAGGTAGCGAAGAATCCGCTTGACAGAAGATCAATGGTTGTTAGTCGGAGCATACATGAACTGACATACCATGTTGACGACAAAGGTAATGTCTGGCCTGGATAAGGACACATACTGAAGGGCTCCAACAACTTGGTGATACTGTACCAGATCGGAAAAGAGAGGGTTGTCATTGGCTGTCAGAGGGCTAAAGGTGTTCATCAGAGATGGAGTTGGCTTAGATTCTGACAAACCAACATCTTTGAGAAATTCCAAAATGTATTTTCGTTGAGAGAGGATGATGTCAGACCCTCTTGGAACAATTTCAATGCCTAGAAAATATGATAGAGAGCCTAGATATTTGATAGCAAACATGGCAACAATTTGTTGAATGACTTTATTAATAAGAGCGGTATTGTTTCCCATAAGAATGAGATCATCAACGTAAATCAGCATGTATAAAGTTGTACCGGCATGAGAATAAATGAATAGGGAAGGATCGGTCTTGAACCCTTTGAAGCCGAGAAGATGGATGATGTGTTTAAGGCGCTAAAACTAGGCCCTAGGAGCTTGCTTGAGGCCATATATAGATTTGTGGAGTAAGCACACGTGATTCAGATGTTATGTATCAACGAATACAGGAGGTTGTTTCATATATCCCATTTCTTCTAGATTGTCATGTAAGAAGGCCTTTTAAACATCTAGTTGTTGATGAGGCCAGTTTTATATCATAGCAAGAGAGAGTACAAATCGGATGGTGGTTGACTTGACAACAGGGCTGAGCGTCTCATGGTAATTTATCCCTAGTTGCTGACGAAATCCCTTTGCAATGAACCGTGCTTTCTAGCGAGTGATGGCGCCATCTTTTTCACGTTTTAACCTGTAAACTCACTTACAATCAATAATGATAGTATTTCAGATCCCATGGACTATGTGGCATTTTTTTTTAAGGCATTGCATTATTCTTCCATGGCTTTGTGCTACTTAGGTGATTTGTTGGCAACCGAAAAAGACGTAGGTTCAGTGGGTTTAGTAATAGTAATGGTAACATGATGAGCACTAGGCTGATAACGTACTCGTTGTTTTGGGTTATAGCAGAGATTTGCTGGTATAGTTTGAGGTGGGTTAGGTAGGGTTGGGGTTGGATTCGATGTTGGTTGCGGAGTGGAGACTGACGGTGGTGATACATCGGGTGTGGAGGTGGTGGCGGTTGTAGGAGATGTACTAAGGGGAAAGGAGGATTCGTTGAAACGAATGTGTCGGGCAATATATATTCTATTGGTGGAGAGATCAAGGCATTGGTAACCATGATGGAATGTGATGTCGCCAAGAAAAAGACAATGAGTGGCTCGGAAATCCATTTTACGACTGTTATAAGGGTGAAGATATGGAAAGCATAAGGAACCAAATACCCTTATAAATGAATAGTCGGGAGGTCTTTGAAAGACGAGTTGAAATGGTGATAAGTTCATAGAGGTGCAAGAGGGCATCTGATTTATGAGGTAAATAGTCGTTTCAAAAGCAAAATGCCAAAACCTTTTAGGAGTACTAGAATGAGCCATTAAGGCTAGGTCGATTTCAACACAACGACATGTCTGTGTCGTCGTTCAATAAATCCGATTTGAGCACTGGTGTGTGGGCATGACCGTAGGTGAACAATTCCAAGCCTGGTAAGGAAGGTTGAGGTGTTGCAAAATTCACCACCCCAATCAGTTTGCCCTTTCTTAAAATTAGTTAAAAATTCTCATTCAACTGTTGTAACAATGGTTTTAAAGAGATTGTGTACATCAAACTTGTCAGACATGGGAAATATCGACATAAATCTAGTATGATGATCAACACATAATAGAAAGAAATGATGTCCATCAGATGAAATGTAACGCCCGTAGATCCAGACTAGTCAATTTAGAGATAATAGGGGTCAAAAATGACTTTTCGACAAAATATTATTTATAATAAATAATTTGAACCAAGTTTTAGTATATGTCACAAGGTTTCCTTACATATAAAGAACGCCGAAATCCGAGTTATAACGAATAAGTTATCACTCGTCGAAGTTTCGTGACGGAACCGGCACGGCACCGGGAAGCGTAAAAAGTGAATTTATGATAGAACAATATTTAGCCTTAGTGATCTAAATAAAAGTCGTAGCATATGTTAAACCGAGAAAATCCATAAAAAGAACGCCCAAATCTGACTTCGTATGAAGAAGTTATGATTTTTCTAAGATTCGACTTAGTAGTGTACAGCCCGAAACTCGAATTTTAGTTCGAGCGGTTTTTGGCTGATGCGACCTAAATGAGAGTTGAAGATCTCATTAATAGGAACTCAACGGTAAAAAGACAGACAAAAACGGAGTCCATATAAAGGAGTTACGAATTCTTCGCGGTCATTTAACAGTCTAAACGCCTCGTACTGTTAAATTTAAGATCGGTCCAGAATTAGCCGACGGAGTCAAAATGAAAGTTGTAGATATTATTTTTACCTACGCGTGGATATAAAGAACGTCAAAAACGGAGGTTGTATGTGAAAGTTACGGATTTTAGAAGTCGGAAGTGTGTTGTGCGAAAATGGGTGATGTGGCACAATCTTGGCCATTGCTTTCTCCCCAAATCTTGCCACTAGATGGTGACATGTGGCACCAAGTTCAGCCATTTTCACCCTATAAATATGACATCTCACACCCTCATTTTCTTCACACCTTTCTCATTCTTTCTTCTCTTTACTCTCTCTCTCTCTCTAGAACCTCTCTCTAGCCCCAAAACCCCCCGAAAAGCCTAGGGAACCTCCCTAGCACAAGGCGGAAGCCCCTGAGTGCTCGACGGCTCCGAGAAGAAGAGCTTTTCCGCATGGGAATGCTGCTCCAAGCAAAGCCTGGTTTTCTATAAAACCCGTTGTAAGTGAGCTACGCCTACGCTATTTTTAATATAGTTTTTATTTAATTATATTAACGTTATTAAGAACATATAATAAGAAATTAGGCTATTATTATGGGTTATATAAGTATTATTTAACGGTTATATAATAGTAATAATAGCTAGACTATTAATTAGTCTCGGTGAATAATAGACTAAACTCTAGTGGTAATAATACTAGGTTTCGTCGAAGGAAATTATTTTTTTCAAGAAATGAAGCGCTGTCTGAGTTCGGAATCACCACCTTTTCAAGTGAGTGCATAGTTACTTTCATCTTACACATAGATATGAAGTATTTTATATAAATTACGTGCTATGTGTGCATATTATCTGAATACTTGTTGTCTATGCTGGATGAACAATTTTATACATGTTTTAAATGATTTAAACTGTAGATATGTATTTTATATCTACGATAATGTTGGGGTAATACATGGGTAGATGTAATAGATGGAGTATGAGTTGGATGATGAGTTGAGAGGTGAAATAGACTGTGAGGTGAGGATGAGAGGTGGACGATGTGAGAAACCTTTTTCCCAAATGATGGCCCCGTCATTCAACAGAGTATGGATGACAACCACGGACTATTCTAGACTGTCCAGTGCAACACTAGCAGGCTCGCAACCTGTAGGTGTTGTGAACGACGTGTTCACCCGGTGTACTCTAAACCCTGGTGATCATGCAGACTTGATGCCTAAACCCTGGTGATCATGCAGACTTGACGCCTAAACCTTGGTGATCATGCAGACTTGATGCCTAAACCTTGGCGACTATACAGACTTAGTGCCCGTTGTGTAAACCGTGGCAATGATGGACTTTGTGCCGATTCCTTAGGATAATCCTTAGGAATGAATG